TGGCCACCAGTGACATTGTCATCCATCACGTGGTGTCTGCATAGTGTAACACCTGCAGCCACATCATTGTGACTGACCTGACTGATAATGGTGCATCTGCCCAGTCTAGACTCAGACCGTGATTGGAAAATAAATGTGCAGATAAAGAGTTAAACCAACAGTAAAGCACACATGAGAGACGGTCAAGCCACACATTCAACGCTATAAGGCCTGTGTTTCAGTTCAAACTAGATCAAATCATATGCCATGTGTCAACAAATTGTGTTATTAATGTAATAAAGCTAAAAGTTCAACTTCAATGTTCCTATTTTAACAATAAGTTGATGTCCTAAACTGGTACCACGAGTATAAAAAGGGTAAAAAGGTTTAATACATGTATTTTAGGTGTAAAGTATCTCCTTTTTCAAGTACATGAAGCAAGACGGCTGATTACCCAGGTGTTTTAGCTCGGTAATTAATTAACCATGCAACGCATCGTGATAGGCCTCATTTCTATAAATATAGCTATAACCCGAGTTAATATTGAGCAGGTACACCGTGTAACATAAAACAAACTACTACAATGTCGTAGTTGACTGACAAAATGAAGAAATTGTGTTAAAATTCCGTTTATGTCGCATTACTGTTTGAAAGGAGCAGCGATGAACTCAATTCAGCTGCAGTTTTTCGAAATGAACCGCTTCGCTCGCGCTCATTCAAGTCCTAGCGTTAGTTCGCCCGGTGTTTCAAACGTTCGTTTAAAAAAAAATCATCATAACGGCTGACAACGTTCGTTTTATAAAAATAAAAATAACAGTTCTAACGTCTGCGGCCCACCATTCCTCTATAAAAACCAGTCGATGTACGGACAGCAACGTGAACAGGTTGGGAAATCCAGCGAGCAGAGATAATCTCCTGTGGCATCGGTGCACATCTGTAATGGGAAGGGAAAATGGGGGAAATGCTATGGATGTATGACTTACCTCGTCGGTAAAATAAGCGGTCCGGTTGGTTTCAGTTAATTCCTCTCCGCGTACGTTGTTTAATATCAACGGCAATATGTATATTTAGGTATATTCGGTAGACGTTGCTGCTGCCTGCCGCTTCTTCCTCTGTCTCTAGTATTTCGATGTGATTCTGGGGCGGAACTACACGCTGCGTCGCAGACAGCGGAGGAGCCAATCATGGAGGACGGGAGGAGGAGGTGCTCACCACAGAGAAGTGCAGCCGACAGGAGGTCTCACTCTGGAGCAGATCATGGAGCCCAGGCTCTGCCTCCAAGGTATGGGGAACAAATGTTCTAAAAACTGTCCTCACGATATTATTTTACAATTTGTTCTGGATCCCATTAGTAGCCAAGCCCCTTTAATCTGTGCAATTCAGCATTCATATTTTTGTAATAGCAACACACCGCTGTAGATACTGTAATATACATGTAATATACAATGTGCATACTTTTACTTGAATATACATATTTTTGTATTCCTTCATTTTATTTTTTTGGACATTTAACTTTAATAAACTGCACAAAAATGTTATAAATTGTTATTGCACATTTTGTAGATTTATATTTCTTGTAAACATTTATTTTATATTTTTATTTAATTTAATTTAATTAGGGCACAGACAGTAGGAGCAAAATAGCTCAAATAGCTCAAAGTTTATTTATTTTTGTCTTTTCAGACATTTTACTAAAAAAAAGTTGTTTTTCAACAGTTGAGTAATTTCTTGCATTTAAATAACTGTTTCGATGTGTTCCAGTCAGGCTTTCGTCCAAACCACAGCACTGAGACTGCTCTTGTAAAGGTCTTTAATGACATCCACTTAAACACAGATAGTGGCAGAACTTCAGTGTTAGTATTATTAGATCTCAGTGCTGCGTTTGACACTGTTGACCACAACATATTACTAGACCGACTGGAAAACTGGGTGGGACTTTCGGAAAACTGGTTGGTTTGAATCCTACTTAAAGGACAGCAACAACTTTGTTTCTATAGGTAAATACACATCTGAGTTGACAAATATGACATGTGGGGTTCCTCAAGGCTCCATCTTGGGGCCTCTTCTCTTTAACATCTACATGCTACCACTGGCTCAGATAATGAAAAACAACAAAATAAGTTACCATAGCTATGCAGATGACACACAAATTTACATAACAATTTCACCAGGAGACTATGCTCCAATTCAAACACTGAGTAAGTGCATTGAACAAATCAATGACTGGATGTGTCAGAACTTTCTCCAATTAAACAAAGATAAAACTGAGGTAATGGTCTTTGGAGCCAAGGCAGAACGTATAAAAGTTAGCGCTGAGCTTCAGTCTGCAATGTTCAAAACAACAGATAAAGCCAGAAATCTAGGTGTAGTCATGGACTCTGACCTGAGTTTCAATTAAAACACATTAAAACTGTTACTAAATCAGCCTACTATCACCTAAAGAATATATCTAGGATTAAAAGACTAATGTCACAGCAGGATTTGGAAAAACTTGTCCATGCTTTTATCTTCAGTACATTACATTACATTGCATTTAGCTGACGCTTTTGTCCAAAGCGACTTACAATAAGTACATTCGACCAGGAAGACACAACCTTGAAGAAAACAGAATCATATAAGTATATCAGGTTTCATAGAGCCAAACATTTCAAGTGCTACTCAACTGCCTTTAGGTAATCCAGTCCTTTATTGGTATAAAAGTGCTTCGTTAATCGTTCTAACGCTCGAAGTGGAGTCGAAAGAGATGAGTTTTCAGTTTGCGCCGGAAGATGTGCAAGCTATCTGCCGTCCTGATGTCAATGGGGAGCTCATTCCACCATCTTGGAGCCAGGATAGCAAACCCACGTGTTTTCGCCGATGGGAACTTGGGTCCCCCTCGCAGCGAGGGCGCAACGAGCCGTTTGGTTGATGCAGAGCGTAGTGCACGCGCTGGGGTGTACGGTTTAACCATGTCCTGGATGTAGGAAGGGCCAGATCCATTCGCAGCACGGTAAGCAAGTACCAGTGTCTTGAAGTGGATTCTAGCAGTTACCGGAAGCCAGTGAAGGGAGCGGAGGAGCGGAGTGGTGTGGGAGAATTTAGGAAGGTTGAAAACCAGGCGAGCCGCTGCATTCTGGATGAGCTGCAGAGGTCGGATGGCACATGCAGGTAGACCAGCCAGGAGGGAGTTGCAGTAGTCTAGGCGTGAGATGACGAGAGCCTGGACCAGAACCTGAGTCGCTTTCTGAGTCAGCTGGGGACGTATCTTCCTGATGTTGTAAAGCGTGTATCTGCAGCAACGGGTTGTAGCAGCGATGTTTGCAGTGAAGGACAGGTTGTTATCTAGGGTCACACCCAGATTCCTTGCAGTCTGAGTCGGGGAAACAACTGAGGTGCCGATGTTGATTGTCAGGTCAAGAGTTGGACAATCTTTTCCCGGGAGGAAGAGCAGCTCAGTCTTGTCAAGGTTGAGCTTGAGGTGGTCCAGTAGACTGGACTACTGTAATGGTGTCTTCACAGGTCTCACTAAAAAATCTATTAGGAAGCTGCAGCTGATTCAGAACGCCGCTGCTCGAGTCCTCACTAACACTAAGAAAGTGGATCACATCACTCCTGTTCTGAAGTCTTTACACTGGCTTCCTGTGTGTCAAAGAATAGATTTCAAAATACTGCTGCTGGTTTATAAAGCACTGAATGGTTTAGGCCCAAAATACATTTCTGACCTCCTGCTAAATTATGAACCATCCAGATCTCTCAGGTCTTCAGGGACTGGTCAGCTTTCTGTCCCCAGAGTCAGAACTAAACATGGAAAAGTAGCGTTCAGTTATTATGCTCCAAATATCTGGAACAAACTCCCAGAAACCTGCAGGTCCGCTACAACTCTGACTACTTTTAAATCCAGGCTGAAGAATTTTCTTTTTGTCGCTGCTTTTAATTGAACTATTCATATCTTAGACTGCACTGAAACTTTTATCCATGTATTTTTTCTTTTAATGTTTATTTTATTAGCTTTTCTTTTTAATGACTGATTTTAAATGCCTTTTTCTTAATCTCTTTCATTTTTTGTAAAGCACTTTGAATTGCCTTGTGTTGAAAAGTGCTTTATAAATAAACTTGCCTTGCCTTGCCTTACTAAAACCTTGTTTATATAAATTATGTATATTGATATATTTTTCTTTTATTGCACATTATTAGTTAAACTTGTTTTTTGTATTAATAAATATTCTATTTTTGAATATATTTGTATTCTAAAATAGAGTAACTGTCCTACAACCACATAATAAATAAGGTATTCTGACTGAAAAATCCTCAGTTAACTTTTTATAGTGTGTGATGCCATAGTGTGTGATGCCATTTTCTTAATGTCTTTCATTTTTTGTAAAGCACTTTGAATTGCCTTGTGTTGAAAAGTGCTATATAAATAAACTTGCCTTGCTATATTCAACTTATTTTGATATCAAGGGGGTTTTGGCATAAATCCAACACCCTCAAAATCACAACAACATGTTGACTTCGCACTGTACAAGTTCATCGCAGGCTATTTTCCCTGACCCATCCATCACCACATGATGTGGGCTTACATTTTGGAGATTAAGCGCTTACAATTCCCATCAAGTTTCTATTTTCAATCTGATTAGGTAACTGCACAAATCGGCTATGTAATAAAAACACATTTCATCAAAGGAAGCACAACATTTTAATGTTTGAGGTTTTTCCACCCCAGAAAACCCTGTTGATACACTTCTCCAAACTGCAGCTTCACAGAGCTGTTTTCGGGTCAAAAGCAGCTGTTGTAATGGTCGAATGCCTTGCTCAGCATGGTTTCCTCTAGTTCTGAAACACCTCAAGCACAGGCCTTCAAAGTAATGCTGCCCTCAATTTCAATCTGATTGTGTAAGAGCACAAATCAGCTCCGAAGAAAACATGTTGCGTCAAACTGAATGACGCAACCTTTGACTTCACTGGTGGTTATAATAGGATGGAAAAGGAACACTCCTCTTTAGCCAGAGAAACAATGAGAAAAATAGTCAAGAATAATCCCATAGTGATTAATAACAATACTTTATTTATGTACCAGCAAATTGGTTTGCATTGTTTCTGACATGTCCCAGCGTCTAAGCCAGACACGTACAGTACAGTAGCATACAATATATGAATTCCGTTTTCAATAAAGAAGAGCACATATTTGAATAACATATTTACAAACAAGCCAAATACTGTAAATAAAACAGATGAAAAAGAAAAGAAAGATACATGTACAGGTCTTCCAAATATTATTTGTCACTGAAAAAAAAGCACAAGATGCTAAATTAAGAAAAGACAAATCCACATTACAGTTTTCAGTGAATCAAGGTGTTACAGCAAACACAATGCAAATAGCAAATTTGAGTAAAGGATAATGACAAACATATAAAGATTATAACTGATAAACCGGGCACAATGATGAGAGGACTGTTAGAAAAAACCATTACAGATTAAGACAGAACAGAAACCACACTTGTTATACGTCTCTAAAACAGAAAATAAGATGCCTTTGATTCCAGACAAACATAACTTCACAGTGTAGATATAAATCAAACCCTTGAAACAGAATATTTGTAGAGGCTTCTTGTACAGTGTCCTTAGACACTGGATGTCTTCAAGTTACTGTCCACCTTTAAAGCAAAATACTTTGAATGCCAGGTGACCGGAGCGGAGCTTTGGGACCTTGTTGATGCAAGAAAAATAATATCTGAAAACGTGTCCAAAAAACTATTGCAAGTTGGTTCAGGAACTCGATTGCACTTTTCAAAATAAATCTTCTGCATGTAAAGCGCTGTGTACTAAGAGACAGGGCAACCTTCAGCAGTAGCTCGGACAAAAGGCATTCATAAGGTTTAGAGCTGCATGGGAACCATAGAAGAGTAATCTGGTCCTAAGGGTTTTTCTCCTGCGTTTACGAGGTTACTTTTGTGTTTAATCCTGATTTATGTTGCCGACAATCCACGTATGTTCATATACATATGACACTGACTGGCTGCAGCATCAGATTCCACCACACAGATACCTTTTAAGAAGGAGAAACGGCAGCAGGAGTCAGGTCTTGCACTTGCATTAAGTTAATCGAAGTCTTTGCGACTGGTGAGCTTCCTCGGCTGCACCTGCTGCGGCGGGCCGTGTACGGGACGGCTGTTCTCTGGCGCCCTCATGTGGAGCTGTACAGGGCGATCTGCTGCACCTTGCCCAGCTGAGTGAGCAGACGCTTCATGCGGTGCTTCAGCTGAGGCAGGCGGGCCAGAGGCTCAGGGGGCTCCAGCTCCCCGGTGTAGTCCAGCCAGCTCTCCAGTACTGAGGAGGAGAAAACACGGTTACACATCATGGGGCTGAGAGTTCTTTTAGTCTTAGTCCTTTGTCTAATGTCCCTGCTTGTTGAATTAAGTAGCTGTTTTTTTATTTATTTTCCTTCAAGTCAAAGCATTTAAGTCTTATCTTAGTCAAAGACGAACTCAACATGAACTATTTCATTGTGGTTCAAGTAAATAGAACCCCAACCAGCACAGAACACACAGGCCAACCCAGGTGTGATACCATCCTTATAACCATTTGTGCGTGACAATCTCTGGGCTGATTTGCATAATTCTATGCACCATCAAATGCAAATGTGTTTACATTAAGTGCTCAATACTGAGTAGCACTTAAATTCTTCATGGAGGCACTGTCCTTGACCCAGTTCACATTTTAAATCAGGAACCTTTTTAAATCATGGATTTTTAAGTTCAGAGGTCTAGTGTAGGAATAATAACTTTTCACTTGGCAGCCAGGTTCTACTGCCATTAGCTGAGGTAGGGAATGCATCAAAGTAAGACTTGGCAAATAATGGATGGCTTTCTTATAAAAATGTATGTATGTCAGTATTATCAGTCTTAATTGGTGATAGGCTAACATACTTATTTTAGTGTCACGTCATCACATCTACATTATTAGCCATCAACTGCTAGCTTACGGTGTGTGACCTCACCTGGTCAGAAATTAAAAGCAGACCTATTGTGCATATATTCAGATTAATATTTGTATTTTGTGCCTCAACTGTGACATGCTTTAATGTTCAAAAAGGTCTTTATTTTTCTCATACTGCCTATGCCACAGCACCTCTTTTCACCCTCTGTCTGAAACCAGAGCCCAGTCTGCTCTGATTGGTTAGCTGGCCGGCTCTGTGACAGAGAGTGTGGGAGAGAAACTACCTCTGGAGGCAAGCCCCAAAAAGCATCATAGGGACTCTTTAGAAACTGACATGGTTGGAAAGAAACGTTGTGTAACCTACATCAAACAGTTGGCTGCTAATCTAACAGACTGGTGGATCGCTGATATAAGCACAATTGCTAAATGATTTCTTCCCTTGTAAACAGACAGCGTTACTAAGCAGGCCAGCGCGGGTCTTACCGTCCAGCTCCCTCTCGATGAAGTCCATCCTGTGTGAGACCTCGTCCTGCACTGCGTCGATGTGGTCCAGCAGGTTGATCTGCCTCTGCTGGTGCTGCCTGCTGTTATCTGCAGCCTCGCCGGGGTCTCTGCCCGCCTCCTCCCTCGTCTCCGCCTGGGACCACGAGCCCCCCAGAGCAGCCTGGAGACGATCGGGAGAAATCATCAGGCAAGACACTCAAGCTGCCAGTTCAAAACACTCTTTGAAGTTCTTAAATGTTATTTTATTGGAGATTTTACTTTCAATTTCATATAAAAGAGACTTTATTTCATTTATTTTTCTTTTCATTACACATTCTCACTTTACCCAATTTTCTCCGGCATAAATAAAGTATTCTGATCTTCTTATGTTTATATCCTTAATTTTTTATTTATTGCAGTGCCCCCACAAATAGAATCGAATGCTGTGGGAAACACTGGCATCCCTGTGTATTGAGGGCTAACCTTGATGCTGGGGCCTGTGGATTTGGGCTTGTCTGTTTCCAGCAGGCTCCCGTAGCGCTGCTCCCGCTCCAGCAGCTCCTCGGTGCTCCTCATGCTGTCCTCCAGCTCTGAGCCCTGTCGGGTCTCCACCACCAGCCTCTGCTCCACCGCCGGGTAATACGCCCGCGGTTTCTGGTAGCAATGTTCACTGATAATGTACGAGTCCTGGAAGGAGGGGAATGGGAAGGAGGAGCCGGACGAGGAGGAGGTGGCGGCTGTAGCGGCCCGGCTTAGCTTCTCCAGAGCGTTGGACATTAAAATCTCCCCTCGGCTCATGTCCTCATCGGGAGTCGCGTTGCTGCTGCGGCACGAGTCCGAGGCGGTCCACGACCTCTCCAGATGTTTCCAGGGCTGCCGCCACAGCTGCAAGTCCGGGTGAGTATTGCTCCTGAAGGGCCAAGCAACAGATAAGACTAACATCACATACAATAAAATGGTAACATATTTTATTCAATCTGGATGATACGGAAAGCAACTTATTTGATTGACTTGGTAGATAAGAGTCTCTTCATAAAATCCCTCTGTACTCACTGCAGGACGTTCATCTTGATCTGCAGTCCGCTGAGGATCTCCACCACGTGGTGCACGTCCCCCAGCAGCTGGTGGGTGGTGGTGATCTTCTTGGCGTTTTGGTGCGAGTAGTTCTCTTCCAGGAAGGACAAGCCGTACATGTGACCGTTGATCAACCACTCACGGTCGTACCAGTAGCGCAGACTCTGTCTCTGACCTGGAAATGATTAACAAATTGCAATGAAATTAAATCAAATGCATCGACTTGTTCAGAAATGATCAAATATAAAACCATACTAGAGCTTTGTTACAATTCAGTGATGAATCAAGCAATACTTACTTGGGCAACTAACTTCTGTATCACAAGGTAAAAAGCATATTGTAATATTACCCTAAGATATATTTTTCCATAAAAAACATTCCTGTCCACTGATTATTGTACACACTGTAATTTGTGTTATTGTCCACTAGATGGCACATAATACTTTTTCCAATGAAACAGGAAGTCTGCAGTGCTCTCTACCAGAATAGCAGTACTAAGCATAGATATATATATATATAAACACTAGATGGCTCAAGGGGGAGTCGCCAGCGTAGCTCCCTGGCGGCCATCTTGCCACAGTCAACAACTACTGCTACAGCTATTGTAAGGTGAGTGATCTGCACAAAAATACTCTTAACTCGCTGAAATCTTGACTGATTTACAAACGGTTTGGTTTATTATAAACGTTATTAGCATGGCTATGATACAAGAGACAACAAAACATGTTAACCAAACCGTTTGAAAATTGGTTGAAAATTGAGGAATCTACGGTTATTTCAATAGTGCACCATAGACATAATGTTATGAATGAGCGAGCTGCCTGTGGCAAGATGGCCGCCATGTGGCAACGTCGGTCTCCATTGGCCAGCAGCGCAGGTGAGTCATCTAGTGTTTATATCATGGTTTATATATATCTATGGTACAAAGCCCCCAGGAAGTGCGCCGGACTCTGAGGAAAATATTCGTTGTGGCCAAACGACGGTACTACACTTCCGTATCAGTCGCTGGGCCCGGAAAGACTTTTTCCCATTGACTAACATTGGGAAAGAGACGTTTGTATAGCCCTTATTAAAAACATTTGGTCCTCAAGTTGTAAAATGTACTAATAACGTTATTCTGAGAGTTATTTTCATCGGCATTATGAACGCGGATCTAACCCACAGGACCGCGCAGCCCGGCACGTTCATGTGACGTGTTCAGTACTACATGAGTTGTACCTTTACCCATGGATGCACAATAAGAACGGATTATATGAATACTTTCGTGACGTTTCGCTCTCTCAAAAGTTGGGCCATCTTGTCTTCATGCACCAATGAGCAACTCTCATAGGAATGAACGAGGCCCCACCTCCCACGCTGTATCCAGTTCTTATTATTAGGGCTGTCAAGTTAACGCAAAAAATTAATTAATGCCACTAATTATTTTAACGCGATTAACGCATGTGTATTTTTTTTCCTCGGCCGCCCCGTAGTTTCAGAGCGCATCGAGTTTAAAATACCATCTACAAGCTGATGCTGACAGCCCCGCTCCTGCCGCCCGCTTGTGGCAGACCACACTTCCACGCTCACCGGCAGGCACCGACTGGCTGTTGGGAGGACCGGGAGGGTGTGTGTATGTGTGGCCCGAGCGAGCGAGAGACCTTACGTGCATTGTTGTTATTAGCATCTGGTGCTAGCTAGCTGCGCTAACGGATATAAGGAGCTGTTTAAATGAAAACAGAGGAGCGACATTTCGCCACAACTGCGCCGAGCACTTGACTTTATGCAGGCAGCCAGACAGTGGGACATTGTACGAACAGTCAGCACACTCAGCACGGATAGTGCGCAACATGATTGCAGCGTCCAGGCAGCTCCCGTTCGAGCATGCCTTGAGTTGCACATAGCTCCAACGGGTTATAACCCTAACCCAACGATCCATCGCACTAACCCTAACCCACCCATTGTTCAAATTATAATAAACATTAGCATAAAGCATATTTGTCCACTCATATGTTGATAACAGTATTAAAAACTTGAAAAATATTCCTCTAAGGTACATTTAGAACAGATACAAAATGTGCGATTAATTTGCGATTAATCGCGATTAACTATGGACAATCATGCGATTAATTGCGATTAAATATTTTAATCGACTGACAGCCCTACTTATTATACATCCATGAGCAGAACAGATCATTTGATGTCAACAATTTTTTTAACCGACAGTGTGTAGTTTGTGGTGCTTGACGTTTCCCTCACCTGGTGGGTCTCTGCAGATGTAGCAGGTGTAGCGGTCGGGAACATTGTCTTCCAGCAGGCCCATGCAGGTGCCATGCTGCCAGCACAAACAGTCTTCACACTGAGGGAGGACAAGCGTGTTTAATTACTGCTGTCCTGATACACAAAAGGAACACAGTGCAAGCGGTGACGAAAAACCCCATCTCACCTGAATCATGAAGTCATTCTCCTCCTCGACCTCACAGATGCAGCGCACTAACTCCTGGTCGTTTGTGTCGACAGCGCCCGAGTCCACACTCAGGGGAGGCGTGGTGACGTCTAAATCCCCCCCGAAGTCCTCGTCGCTCCACCCACAGCTGTCAGTGGACCAGTCGCTCATGCTATCATCATCTACAGTAACAGGGACATACATTATTGTTTTTGGGGAAAATCACAGATATTAACTTTCAGATTTAGCTCATTAATATTCTTGAATCGATACAAAATGCTGCATGAAATGATTATCAACGAATATTTTTATGAATTACACGATGAAGCAAGCAAAAGCAGCAAAGTAAAAGCTCAGGATTCAATCAACCAAGTGTTATATATGTTTTTATATCATCATTGACAACGAGCAACCAGTTTAAAAAAGAGACAGTTCACCCCAAAATCTAAAATATATCGTTTTCCTCTTACCTGTGGTGGTATTGTTTAATCTCTGGATGTTTGATGAGAGTTGCCAAGTATTGTATATATCAAGCGGAAGAAACATGACCCGGTTCCACAAGTTAATCCACAGACCTCGTTCTGAGCCGTTTCATTTACAGCAACTATTGTCTTTCTACCCAAACACACGAGCCAACAGTTTCACAGAACCAAGTGAAGTGTGCATCCACTCAAGGACGGCACCATTGTTGCTTTTCCTCTCATGTCCTGGATGAAAGCTTCCTCTTTGGCATTGATACAGTTGGCAGTTTGGTAGAAAGAAAATAGTTCCTGAATTTTACTTTTACGGTGTGTGTGTGTGTGTGTGTGTGTGTGTGTGTGTGCGTGTGTGTGCGCATATCAACTTGAGTAACCAGGCCAAGATTTCTAAAAAGAGACATTTCTGCTTTTAAATGCATGTGTATTTTTTATTTTGGGGTGAATTGTCCCTTTGTCTTTCAGGTTTGGACATGAATAACAAATGAGACACAGGTTAAACTGGAACAGCATGATGGATTGAATCCAGAGGGAACAGAAGAATGAAGAGGAGAGGAAGCCATGAACGGTCACACAGACTCACACAGACAAACACACACACAGAGGTACCCACCATCCACATGTATCTGCTGTGAGTAGCTGTATCCAGGCCTGCTGGGGTAGGCCTCAGGCTTGTGATTGTGTGAGGGGGGGAATTTGAGTGGCAAATTCAATTTGGACTGAAGACCCAAAACTGAGATGTCAATATTCTCCTCACTACCTGTGTAGTCTGTTAATACAGGGAGGGGGGGGGGAGGGGGAGGCAGACGTAAAACAAAATGTCATGAAGGGAAAAAAATGGTGGGACAACAAAACATGGACAAATAATAGACTCAAGAACTGACCGGGACAATCAACCTGATCAAATCCCGGGGTGCACCCATGACACATTTTTCAGCGGATGCAGTGCCATTTTTTAAGGAAAACAAATACTAAATGTTTTTTCACAAATAATTAACTGTTTGTAAGGCCTACTTCATATCTTTGAATAAGAACAAAACCCTAAAAATACTTCTTACAAAATGTCTATCTCTACTCATTGAGGAGATTTTAATTTCAAACATACAGTGTCTGCGTTTGATTCTTGTTGTCTGTCATAATCCATTGTTACCGGTCATTTTTGATGATAAATACATATTTAATAGAATCAAATTTCCATTCAATTGTTAGGTTAATGAATTTATATAAGCATGTTTAATTAGACAAGAGAAACGCAATTCAAAAGGTTAGAGGGTTTCCCGATGTTTAACCGATACATTGGTGCATCCCTACTTTTATAGTAAAACTAACAAATGTGGAAGGAAGGGAAGCTACATGTGAGCATGATGAACATACTGTACCTACATGATTTGTATATTATACCAATGATTTTGTTATTTATTTCACTTTTGTGCCAGGAAAACAAATACTGAATGTTTTGTTAAATAATATATAAATAATTAACTGTTTTTTAGGCCTACATAATATGAGTACAAAACCCTAAAAACACTTTTCACAAAATGTCTCTTCTGTACAATTACCTACTCATTGAGGAGATTTTAAAATTGGATTCTTGTTGGCTGTCATTGTTACACAATTTAAAAGATTAGTGTTTGTGTGTTTACCGATGACGATGTCTAACTGATACATTGGTGCATGCTAAACATACTGTAGCTACATGTGAATGCTAACTAGGAACAGAGAGTTGTGATGGGGTTGTGTTGGTCAATATCAGTGCCACAGCACCAGCACTGATACAGTTCCTGTGGCAATGCAAGTGTGATGTCATAGGTAATGAGTTGGAGCGTTGTGATTGGCCCGATGGAGCGATGAGACCAGCGACAGATGTAACACTTCTCCCACACACAGAGGCTCAGCCAACACCCAGAGCAGTGAATGGAGTACTGTTTACACGGTGTCACAGTGATGCACATGCAGAGCAGCAGATATATGAAGAGGCCTGATGCAAGGCAAGGACCCCCCCCCCCTCTTCTTACCAGACTTGGCCTTCTTTTTCTTCTTCTTCTTCTTTAGTTTAATACGGAGGAAGTCCTTCTGTTTCTGTTTCAGTTTGTCTTTTACTGACCCTGGGGACCGTTAAGTGGCGAGAGTTAGTCAGGTTACTTTAATGATAGTAATAAGGGAAACAGGTTGGACTCTTTGTAAAATACACCATGCAGTAATTCTCCTTGTACTGCGTGGTACTGACCAATGTCAAAGCCGCTCTTGTCAGAGTCCAGCTGCTGGCATCCGTTCCTGTCTAGATGGTTCTCCTTGCTCTTCTCCCTCAGCAGCGCCCTCTGCTGGTGGATCTGGGTGCTGACGGCAGGCGGGGCCGATGTGCGCCTGCCTGCAGTCTTCACCTCACCACGGGCGACCGGGACAGGCCCAACAGGGTCTGAGGAAAACCAATGAAAGGCCAAACATTAGCTCAAAGCTGTGAGATATTCAAATGCCACATTAACAATGCAGCTTTGCTTTAGAAGTGTTTGACTAGGGCTGCACAATTAATGTTATGGAAATTGAAAAATGGACTAGTAGGATATTTAAATTGCAGGAAGCACTACATTTGTTAAAAGCTACATATGTTTTGAATTAGCAATTGGCAAGCCACAGAGATATTCAGCCCAAAAAAATAAATAATCGTACTATAAATTTAAAAAAGAATTGAAATGATGCAGCACTGTTTGACTAAAAATAAGAGCATGTCATGATTAGGTATTCTAATTTTCTGGTTCAGGTTATTCATTTGTACATGTTAGATTTGGTTTGCAGTTAAAAAACAAGAGATCCATTGTGACATAGATAAAAACAGGCAAATTGTTCAAAAAGGACCACATTTAAAAAACACTATAACAAACACGAACATTCAGGTAAATAAATAACCGTGACACTGCTGCAACTTTGTAGAAAAAGCCGGTGATAATCAAAAGCTTTTTTTCCTTACACGTCATACAGGACAGAAGTGACACTAGAGAGGAACTCACGCAGAGAGGCAGAGATGGTGCGCCTCCTCTTGATGCCGTCCAGAGGAGCGGTCTGTTTCTCCGAGGCTCTGGTCTGGATGCTCCTGGTGGGGCTGCTCTCGCCCTCCAGAGGCTGCTCCTCTCCGTGGTAATATTTCATGTGGTAATGCAGCAGCTTGGCCTTGCGGAATGACTTCGTGCAGCCGGGAGCGCTGCACTTAAACGGGTTGTGGTCCAGGTTGATGGACAGGACCGGAGGAGGTTGGTTTTTGATGACGCGGTACACTGAAACAAGGAGCGAGGAACAGTCAGTGACACGTAAAGAAAGTGTGGAGGAAATTCTTAAGAGAAACTAATAAATGGTTCATGGGCAAAGTATTTAATAAAGTAATAAAAAAAGTCAAGTGAAATCGATCCCAAATGTAGGAACAGCGTTACTTTAACCTCAAGAGGATAGAGAAGACTACAAATACAATGTAACAGTGTAAAAGGCAATCAGAGTATAAGACTATATGTTTTAAATGATTATATGATCATTTGACACCACAGAAAGCACTTCCAAGAAAATGTGTTTTGAATGTACTCACATGGTTCTCTGCTGAATCTGTTGGGGTTGTGGAAACCCTGCTTCCTCACCGCTATCAGAGGCAAAACAAATATGTAATCTCTTGAAAATATGCCCAACGTGATATTTACTGCACTCGTTTTCACAATCCTGCAGAATGAAGGGCATTTGACTTCATTAACACTTACGTTTCACAGGCACGGGAGGTGGTACATCCGCTGCGGGCTCGGAGCCTTCTGATTGGACGCTGGGCTTCTGCTCCACACCTCCTTTTGATTCTGTGGTTGTCATAGAGACAGGCACCTGCTCCATCTGTGCTGTGGGTGACTCCTCCGCGTATGGCTTGGGCGACTCTGTATATGGCTTTGTTTCCATCTCTTCCTGCTTCACCTCTCCATTCAGGAGACATTTCTCTTTGCTCTGCTCATCGGCTTTTTCCTCCTTCACGCCGTTGGTGAGTCCCGCCCCCTTCCCTAAATCCCTGGGCGTGTTCAGGTCGGTCACTTCCTCTTCCTGTTTGATGGCCGGCGCAGCGCTTAGCTCGCCGTTTGTTTTCTTGTTCTTCTCGTTGACCATCCCCTGTTCTCGTTCATCTTGCTCACTGTTGCTGTCCTCCTCCCGGTCGGACGTGCTGCGTCTGGCTCGCTTGTTCTTGGGGCCTCCGTTCTCCTGAGGCCTCCTGCGGTTTGGGGCCCGCCTCACCATGGTTCTCTCAGAGGAACGAGACTTACCTCCACCTCTCTAATTATCAGCAGGACAAAGATAGGTTTAGTATACTTAATCACAATTCATAATGTGGACATTCGGGCTGCTCCATTATGGCAAAAATCATAATCTCAATTATTTTTGGTCAATAATTGATATCACGATTATTAAAAACGATTATCCATTTACTTTGAAAACATCCATTTAAAAAAAATAAAATGTGAACAGTATGTTTTTAACAGTTGATTACCCTGAACTTTAAGTTTAATACAACAACAAGAAATAGAAATAAAAAAATAATAATAAAAATAATAAAAACAAAATCGTTTTATTTCGATTACGTTGTTTTCGTAATCGTTGCAAGCCAAAATCGTAATTGCGATTAAAATACGATTAATTGAGCAGCCCTAGTGGACATAGAATAGAAGATTAAATGGTTATGGATGTTTAAATGACTAAATGTACCTCTTTAATAAACGGCTTCACGTGTATCTCCTTCACTGTCTGGATAACGCCATCGTAGAACTTCACAGTGTAAGATGCTGAAGAAGATAAAGGAGAGCATGTTTGAAACGAGCATGATGCTAATCAGGTAGCCCATTACAGACTACTTTTTATTCTACACTTGAATTGTTAATTCTCTTGTTGTTTAGAGTTTTGTTATTGTGCATCACAGTTCTTTGTTCTTCGTTTGTATTTGCTGTGCCAGTCAGTGAAGCCATTAGGTTATAATTAGGGCTGTCAAACGATTACAATTTGTAATCAGATTAATCACAGCTTAAAAATTAATTAATCAGATTAATCACCATTCGAACTGTGTCCAAAATATGCCATTTCTTTATGTATGTTGTGGGAATGGAAAGATAAATGAAAGAAGGCGGATATATCCATTTAACATACAGTATCTATGTTTATTATAACATTGTTCTGTGTGTCAAAATGAAAGACAGCCCACACACCTATCAATCATCAAACCGTGGGGTCTTATTTCAGTACGTGTTCTATCAACACAGGGGGGGGGGGGGGGGGGGGGTGATCTAACCGCCTTCTGGAAAAGCTTCACAAGTACGTCGGTACGCAAATGCGCTTTGTGACACAAGTGACGGTAAGCATTTCAGATTGTTGCCGCGCATGCGTACCAGTTATGTGCACCTACTACAGCAAAAGTATTCTCCGTCGGTACTTCCTGCAACAACACCACGCCGTTATCTTGATTGGCCAGAAGACATTATCAAAGATGTTCTATTGAGAAGACGATCACTACGTGACAAAAGTTTTCAAAACTGTTTCTGGTCTTCGGTATTTCCAGAGAAGTGGCTGAAATCAATCTTACTAACTGCTGTCTGTGCAATTCTCGGCGCGAGTTGGCAGACTTTATTTTGCTTACTTTAACATCATTTTTCATGGTGGGGCTAAGCCATTTCTTGGTATGGGTGTAGCCTACCCCAGCCATACCCCAGCGCTGCCACTGGTGGGATGTATGGGGCGGGCCATTCTGCACATGCGTTAAATGCGTTAAATATTTTAATGCAATTAATTCAAAAAATTAATTACTGCGTTAACGCGATAATTTTGACAGCACTAGTTATAATTGAATGCAATTTTACACCACAGCTACCTTTTTAAAGTGGACATTACGCGCATTTTCAGGTTCATATTTGTGTTGTATTGTACTGTGACACGTTTCCATGCTTTAATGTTCAAAAAGGTCTTTATTTTCTCATACTGCCTGTGCTGCAGCACCTCTTTTCACCCTCTGTCTGAAACCAGAGCCCAGTCTGCTCTGATGGGTTAGCTGGCTGGCTCTGTTCTGATTGGTCGACTGCTTAGACACGTCCCGCCCCTTAGCCTATCACGTACAATAGATATAACAGACAATAGCCCAGGAAAGGGAAAACCCCTACAAATATAGAAGGGCCTCTTTAAAAACAGAAGTGAAACGTTAACATTTCAGTTTTCATATTGCACAATCTTGACAAAGTCATTACAGTCATTCATTAAAAATGCTAAAAGATGTATACATTAAAAAAAATATTCTGGTCCAAATTTGCTCAGCACTTTGATACCCACCATCTTTATTGACCGATAGGACCTTGGCGGGGTAGAAACGGCAGTCGGACCAGCTGGCTAGGACCTTGTCGTTCACATGAAAGCCCTGCAGGGAGGACAGAGAGGATGGATCTGGGACGTACTGTAGGCATGCTGTCAAAACTTCAAAAGGACATGGTTCTTTTAGCTAACAAAGCTGTCATTGTTGTCCCATTGTTATTAAAAAAACACAGTGCTCAAATGTGGCCCAACCCCAAATGTAAAAGATACCCATTTGGATTAAGCAAAAAATAAACCAAATGGAAAAACCCCTCTATGCAGAATGATGGAATAAAAGCTAGAAGAACCCAAGATAACCTATAAGTGGCAGATCTTCTCATTTCTCGATGCAAGACAGGTAAAAAAAGCCGGTATAAAGAGCGGTGTTAGCTTACAGGGACAGGAGCGTCGTCCTGCAGGCCCTGCCGCCTCAGCGTCACTCTCTCCACGGGTCTCAGGTAGGGACTGGTCCAGTCAAACCACTCGTCGTAACGGTGGCTCCACTGGCGGTAATGGACCAGAATTTTTTCTTCTTCAAAGTCAACCTTCTCTATATTGGCAGCATACCTACACGAGAGAAATAATTCAATAATGAGTGACAGGGAGTGGTTTTAATGCATTATTCTTTATTCAAAACAAATAATGAGGTGGCTAGTCAGTGGAAAAGAGTCTATGTGGAAATGTCACAGTGAATAATGATGCGTAACTTAAGAGGATGCTTTATTGGGGGTAGTGTTGGGCATTGACACGCTACTATAGTCTAAAAAAAATATATTTGATTACAAAAATAATACAACACCAAAGTTACAACCTCCAGTAACTTATTAAGATTTGGTCAAAGTTACAAAGTCATTACCTCTGATTATAATATGATTAAAACACAGGGCTCTTACAGCTAAAAGGAAATGTTGATTTGATGCCAGTCTGATCAACTAAAACTGAAGAGAAACATCAATTATCAAGTCAAATGTAAACACTTCCTGCGCAAAATGCCTCGTATAAAGTCGATAGCCAATTTGTATTGAATGTGCTCTTGAATTGAATTTGCTCTGAGTATCTCTGTCGTAAACCAAATAAGAGTGTTGTTGATTTCGCAACCCAGTGTGAATGTGAGAGGCAGCCATTTTTTAAGAGGAATACAAATCAATGATAGGAATTCTTTTTAAATGTTCATGTCAGAAACAATGACAACATTTTAGAAAATGCTCATTTCTTAGCATTTTTAAGATCCGATTCAAGACCAGACATGGCCTTATGTTTTAGATACATTCATTAAAATGTCTTTTCTGTATTTCAGGGCCCCAGGGAACCCTAAAACAGTCTAGAGATAATCGTACCGTCCTTCATTATCAATCCATATTAACGGCTGTTTTCCAAGAGGCTTTATTTGCTCTTTTAATGTTTGACCAATGACCAAGAGAATAGCTAAGCCAGGCCCAGAAATGATACTAAGACACTGAGTATGTCAGAGAGAAAGAGAGAGGGAGTGAAGGAAGGAAGTGAATATTTACAGGGATGGGAGGAATGAGTGAGGCCATGACTCACCAGTTTTTGAGGCTGTCTCTGGCCTCGAGCTGAGCTCCCACCTCAAAAGATATCCCTCTTCTGTTAGGGGGCGTCTTACTCATACTGCCCACATCAAGGCTCCCTTCCTGTACACACACACACACACATACACACATTAACCTAACACACCAATCAAAAATACACCCATGTGGGTACACTACTGAGAGACACATTGTTCCTAGCCAAGAACACAATACACCGGACTAGCAAGGACTTTTACAGACTATCTTGCAGTCAGCCTTGGTTTTTCTAAGGTCATCACTAACAATTATTTACCAGAAGGCTTTAGCAAATCACAGCTTTGCACTCCAGACTATATATTTTGGTGTTAAAAAGGCAATTGCGGCACTCCCACAGCAGAACAATAATGCAGTCAAGGCTGGGAAAAGATATTACCGGTGTAATAATACAGATTACACATGTTGTGATTCCAGTGTAAAGCAAGGGGAATCTGACATTGTACGGTGAGCCATGTACCTCAAATGATGATGAAATGTGCAACTAATACCAGATGTTCAGTGATCAGCAGGGTTGTCTATACTCACACAGGTACAAATGATGATCTTCAGCAAAATGAGCAGCATTAAAGCAATCAATATGTTATTGAACTCCCTCTCAAGGAGGAAGAACAAGAAGGAACAAGATCTACGATGACATGTTCATAGCTTTCACTTCCTACTCAATCTGTAGAGTAAACAGGCAATCATGCACCAAAAATACTCGACTAATGTACATTATAATAGTCTTAAATGGGGTATTTGTCCATGCAGTCTCATCAAATCCAGACCCAAAGCCTGCTGCAGCCCCTTGGTGGAGAAGGATAATCTTTGCGTAGAAAATGTCAATTCCCTCCCTACAACAGGGCGTCCTTTGTCAGGCATGCAGAGGACAGATCGGCGCCTATCGTTAAAAAGCCAAACGATTTACATTAAACACAATAACGTCTTACTTTTGTCCAGGCTACAGCCCTCTCCGTTCCCCATAGCGGAGGCAGTCCGGGCTGCGAGTGCGACGCACAAACCGGATATCTTCACACTACTCAGCCCACGTGTTTTCTGGTCAACCGATTTTCCCGTACGGACACAATGGAGAAGACAATGGAGAAGAGCCTTGGTGGCTAATCGCCTGCAGATACGGACACCCAGCACGGTATCAACGAGCAAACCATATCCCAGTCAGTAATATGCAAAGTGTAGGATGAAAGGTGTGCATTTTATGGCCTGCACAAAGAGCCAGACAGGCGACAGCGACACAGGCGGGACACACACCGAGAGTTGGTGATGCCCGAGTCAGGAAACGGGTGATTAACACCAATTTAAAGTGTTACATAAAGCATAGTTTTGGCTATTTAAGCGCAAATTGAGAATTTAATAGGATAAAGGGAGAAAAGAGCGTCCCACACCCTTTTATTTTTTTACATCTCTCAACCATAGACTGTTTCGAAATGGTCTTATTGTTATTTTAGCAGAAAATACGAGGACGTGTTGTTTGTAGCTCAGAGATATTCTACCGTTGTCCACTGTCTTTGACACTTTATTGTCCAGTATTTTATAACCAGTGGGCGAAGCGAGAGAGAAAAAACATCACCTACGCAAGAGGTTTTCGTGAAAACGATTGGTCTAAAGGCTCTCAAGTGGGCGGGATACTCGCATCTGATTGGCCAAGCAGCCGTCACTCACAGATCTGTTCTGGGCCTCGCGCGCTAGGCCTTTACTTTGTCATACTTTTGGTGCTGGGAACGAGCGGCGTGGAAAAGGAAAGCATAAAACTTCCACAACTAGATAACAACGTAGCCATTTAAAGGCACCCAATGAAAATGCATATGCCGAACAAGAGCCACACCAATAATGACACGAACAGAACAACGAATTGTACTAAAATACACGTTTTAAAATCTACTTCGTCACGTTTGTTTTGAACTCAAAAAGCCGACATGCGGCACCATCCGCCGCTGACGCATCCAGCAAACCCTCCTCACTATCGAGGTTATAAACGATTATAATCTCTGAGACGAGGGAGAGACACACTCTGGGCTTCCTACCTGTTCTCCAGTCACTCTTTGTCCGGTTGGGGGAAAAATATGCACCGTAATCCCTGAAGGAGTGCAGGTACCGCTGCCTCCGCCTGTCTGCTCCAGATCACGCAGTTGAATTTCTCCCAGTTGCATTCACCGCGGGCAGTGTGGCGCTGCACTGCGCATGCGCCTACTGAGACCCAGGCCCCAAGTGTTCCGATAACATCATTCATCAGCTAACATTGAGTCGCACATAATATTTAATGATGATGTTCATAAACATGTCAAACGCACTTTTATTTGGACCTAAATGTACGAATAACATGGTGTGGTACCGACCAATATGTCACTGTTTCAAATAAACAAGGCCATTATTATAGCTTGCTACTTCCCATATGAATACACTATGATCCAGTAAGTCATGGAAGGACTTAATGTTTATGTATGCTCATAAACATGTCAACAATTGTTAATAAAAACACTTAAAAGCACTTTTAAAGGGACCTACCTACAGAACCAACAAACTTTTAGGACATAGCATTACTAATATTATCAGTTCTTACAAATAAACTAATGTAGGCAATTATTATACCTTGCTACTTTTCATAAATGAATACACTTTGATCCAGTAAATCAGGAAGGACCTGAGCATGCCATTGGTCACACAATATACCTGTTGTTTTTTATAGGAGTTTATTTAGGGTGAACAAGCTAAATAATACTCACTACATTGGTGGGTGGGCTTTAGTGTGTCTGCCTTTTTAGGATGGCATGCCCTTGAAGGTAGGTAATTTTGGAGAAACCACCTCGAGTGCGCTAGAAAAATCTGCCACTTCCTAACACAGCCCCTCCTCCAACACACACGAACGCGCACATGACCAATGAGGGCACGAGATAAATTTGTGCACAGATGGAAGGCTGACAGGCAGGCAGGCCATACAGTTATTTTAGCCGGGCCGGTTAAAATGATTGGTCGTGCTTTTTACAGTACTACGGCCTCCACAGATCACGTTTTTTTTATGGATTTTTTGGCAAAGACCTATCATGCCATACATTTTTGCACACATTCACAGTAAATATGTATTCAGTATGATAGCTGTCTAACAGAAGTTAAATCCATTTCTCACTTATTCTGACAATTTACGTAACCCCAAATAAAAGAACCCAATAAAAAGAGTTGTTAAATAATAGTGAAGTCACGGTGTAATAACAATAACTCTCTCGTTTTATTTTTGAGCTTTGCCAAAAGCCACTGTGTCAATGTTGTCCTACTTGGGTTGCCGTCCGGAGTTGTCCAATATGGCGGACCATCTCGCACATGCGCACTGCAGATCGGGCAGAGCTGCAGATCGGGTAGTGACATCCTTGCGTCCCTCCATGCTTCCTTGGTGGGAGGGACTAAACGCAGGAAAACGATGCAAGTGAGGGAAGCAAGGATTTCATTTAACCGACCTGAGACGGGGCCCCTCTCTCTTTTCCTCTATAGCCTACCCAAATCTAAAAATAAAAAAAGGGGCTCTAACGGATCTGATACAGACTGATCCAGATTTGAATTATTTTCTACGTCACAAAAGGGGTGCTCCGCTTAGTGGTCAATTCTCCACTTATCAGGGGAATGAGAGGTTGGGCCATGGCCGGCCATTGCCGCTTGAAAGCGCGAGAAGGGTCTAGCTGCGGCCGCGGACCCAAGCCCCCAGGAAGTGCGCCGGAGTCTGATGAGAATATTCGTGCTGGTCAAACGGCGGTACTACACTTCCTTTAGGTTGCTGGGCCCGGAAACACTTTTTCCCATTGACTTACATGGGGAAAGAGTGGTCTGTAACTCGTTGGATAATGTTTTTTAAACTAAATAAACAACCCAGTATGAACACTTGTATAGCCCTTATTAAAAACATTCGGTCCTCAAGTTGTAAAAATGTGCTAATAACGTTATTCTGAGAGTTATTTCCCTCGGCATTATGAACGCGCATCTAACCCACAGGACCGCGCCGCCCGGCACGTTCATGTTACGTGTTCAGTACTACATGAGTTTCTCTTTACCCATGGATGCACAATAACAACGGACCATATCGCCTTACTGCCAGCCCACGGAGCTGTAATAATGGCTATATATTGCGCATGTTTGCTGTAATTCATCATTTGTAAAATATTATACTACATGGGCTGTATGATGTAAATCTTGTACCGTAAATGTTGTATTAAATAAAGTTAATATTACCGACGTAGATTAACGTTCCTGTAGCTTCTTATTGCACTTGCAATTGTTTTAGTTACTTGTGGGCTACTCAACATGAATAATCACAGTTACTATCCTTTTACTCCATCACATTTCAAAAATAAATAGGCTATTGTTATTTTAACTCCACCACACAGTAATCCATCATCAGCTTTACTTTTTAGATAAAGTTTTAACTCACAATTGATCATAACAGGCTTCAACATATACATTTTTATATATTACCAAGTGGTTTCATGTACAACCCACACAAGTATCATGCTAAATGAAGCTCTGTTGCTTGGATATCACTAGATCCTGATGTCAGCGTAATATAAAAGTACATAACGATTGATGTGTAATTTAGCATAATTTACTAGCTAGCCACTAGCTGCTAACTGCCGCCTCGTTAATATAAATCCAGTACCATGCTGTCATGAACGCGCGGTGCTGTTACGTGTACGCAAATTCACGTGCTTAATGTGAACGAGCCTTTTGGGCGGCGTGATTAAAGTTGCGCATGCTCTATGAGTGCACATACGGGTACTTCTCAGGCATGCCGGGTAATCTGTGACGTTTCGCTCTCTCAAAAGTTGGGCCATTTTGTCATCATGCGCTAATGAGCAACTCTCATAGGAATGAATGAGGCCCCGCCTCCCACGCTGTATCCAGTTCTTATTATACATCCATGCCGCGGACAGTACACGACGGTACACGATGGTACACGACACGCCCACCTGACACGACACTACGGTGGCTGAGAAGGGTCTAGCTGCGGCCGCGAAAGTTGTACTTCCAAATATGGTCAGAAGAGAGCACGCCCAACACGTGAGACGCTGACGCAAGGATAATTAAGGAGACATGGAGGTTTACAGACAACAGACAACAAACAATATGGCGCACCGAGTACAGTTAATTATTAAACGTATTGTGGTTTTAGATATAATTACATACTATTTAGGTTCTCGTTTGTTTGTCGATGTGGCAGTTTAGCGCAGTGTAATTGTGTTTATTTTGCTATTATATATATATCTATAGGTGCTATATATATCTTATTATTAATACATCATTGGAACGGTACCTCCAGTATGCCTACATGACAAGCATTTTATAATATACAGTAAACATATCTTTGACTTATTGCAAAATTATAAAATGAAATTCACCCCTGCTGTCATTCTGGCTTTCACTGTTCAAATGAGATGTCAACCATCAAAATGGGATAAGGGGTTCCAAGGGGTTCTCAAACGGATAGGTTATTAATTTATTTGCCTAATAGTTGCTTAAAATGCTACAATAACATGCCATGTACGGTCTCTCAGCCACCGTAGGCGGCGTAGTAGGGGGCGTGTCGTGTAGTGTCGTCAATTCGCTTTTCATCTGCCATGCCTCTCAGCCACCGTAGTGTCGTGTCAGGTGGGCGTGTCGTGTACCGTCGTGTACCGTCGTGTACTGTCCGCGGCCGCAGCTAGACCATATTGGAAAGCGCTGGAGACGCTGTAGTACATATGCCAGGCCTAAGTGGCGCTGTAGTGTGCCACAAAAGCAGCGAAGAAGACTTCCCGCTCACGGTTGCCATGGTTGCCCTTCTGTTTATTCTCCGCTGTGGCTCTTTTTCTCCCTCCCCGAGGCAAGCGTTTGCGCCTCCTGCTTTAAAACAAATGAATACTTACTCTATATAATCATATGTAAGGGATAATGGGTATGGGATTAGTTTTGTATCATAAAGATAAAGCAACACTTTCTCAGAATAAAGCAAAACTATGAGTTTAAAAGAAAAAAAAACTAAGTCAAGCAAAATAAAATACATTTCAAAAATAAAACTATAAGTTGCAAACAAATCATTTGTGTAATCATGTAAATGTAAAGTCTTTTTTCTTTGTTTTAACATAGGTTTTTGTTTGCAGTTCTTGTTTCTTCTTTCTCAATGATCAGACTTTTGCTCTTGCTGCAGCTTTTCTCGTTTGCGCTCCCTCATTTTTTGTTTGAGATTTTGACACAAACCTCCCAGGTGGGCGGGACTTTCAGGGGTGCGTCCTCATTGGCTACTCAGTTTTTGAGTGACAGCCCACTACACCACAGATCATACAGTGCAACTCATGCAGCAAACTCCGGAGTCCACTCGGCCACGTTAGTGTTGGTGTCTCCTGGGGGGTTTTCATGAACATATCGGACTTATTTTATGGATTGCAGTGCATTATACTTGTGATGTGTAGTTCATACTTTATTCCAACTTTAAATATTTTAATACCTGAACACACTGCTGCTGTTAAATAATTTCCCAATTTGGGATTGATAAAGTGTCTGTCTATTTATTTTATAGATTAAAAAAACACATCTATGTATTTTTAAGCTAAAGGTGATACACAATATAAACTGTATACTATTATTTTTCAAGACATGTTACATTTCAAAAGCATATATTGCTATGTTTAGGACAAACAATTAAAAACTGCTTTAATTGAACAAATTCTGCAATATAAAAGTGGCAGATTTGCTTTATTAAACAGACCAGACCTAGGCTGCATACCAACACAATTAGGAACATGCTCACATCTTACTATGTTGGTCTGAAGAGCTGAAGCATTCATA